GATACGGAGCCTCTAGCGTGTTATCTTTTTCATTTCTTGATAAATATTTTCTGATTTAAAATTAGAGCATTTTGTTGCAAAAGGAATAATTAAGTTCGATAGACTGAAAAAAACTGCCTAGTTGGCCGAGTGGTCGCAAGTGCGACTACCGGGCCCCTTGCCCGGGTTCGATTCCCGGGTCGGGCAAAGAGTTACAGGGTTTTAAAAAAAATCTCAGTAGCAGCACGGAGTCCGGAATGGTGCCCAGTATGGCGGTGTATGGTGATAGGCTCACCGCCGATTACATGGGACTCATAACATAAATAGTGAAAAGTGGGTGTTACATTGTGAAAAGTGTGATATTACGATATTAAGATTGAAGAAAAAAAGGTAGTAGCTCCGTTTGTCTGCTCCCAAGTATACTTACATAGTCCAATATACCCTGTGCTTAGCATTTGCACTTATGTTTCCCAGACTGAAGGAAACTTCAATCTAAAATAATTTGTAGTAATTACATCGCACCAGATAAAGCTAATTCGAAGCGGAGGAGGCCTTCACAATTTATTTGCCTACATATCAAAGGGCTCTCGACGCGTTTCTAATTTCATACAGCTTTCTCCGACCTATATTTAGTGTCTATTACAAGGTGCAATGTCCGCCGGTTGTAACATGTCATACATTACTCTCCATATATCAGATTTTACTAACGCTATGTTTATCAGCATTATGCAGTTTGAAGCCATTCCGTGTCGATTCCTGTTTAATGTAGTCCATGCAATTTGTAGATTATGTAATGTCGTTTTGTAATTTGCATTCCGTAGTTTTTTTAACAATATTGTTTTCTTTCATTTTAAGTACTTAAAGCAAAGTTTTAACTAAGATAAAATGACTGCCTCGATGGCCGAGTGGTCGCAAGTGCGACTCGGCAAGGGGTCTCGGGTTCGATTCCCAGGTCGGGCAAAGTAGGTTACCTATTATTGGGTTTTAAAAAATTCTCAGTAGTAGCACGGAGTCTGAATTTGTGCCCGGTATATGGCAATAGGCTCACCCCCTATTACATGGGACTCATAACATAATTAGTGAAAAGTGGGTGTTACATTGTACAGTGGCATAATGTGCACCTCTGCCTACCCCTTCGGGGATAAAAAGCGTGATGTTATGTATGTAAAACTACTAATATTTTCGATTTATTATTGTTAACATACACTGTGTCACAAATTGCTTGAATCAAATCAATTCATATGCTAGGATAACAAATAGTGCAAGTATGTCAGACATTTGCACCATATTTCTAAATAGAATACACATTTCTCAAATGAAACTTCGACACGTTCATATATCCGTGTGTCCGGCACGAGAGCATCGAGTCTCAGTAGCAAAGAGGAAGCTTCCTAATTAGGTTACATTTAGCGTCTGCACACCACACTGCACACACATTATGTTGCTCGAACACTTTTTATTACTAGTTTTACGCACAAACTCGCTTTGAACCTTTGAACGCACATCTGTAATAAATATGCCATGCCCCAGTCTGTTGTTTCCAACTCTTCAAACAGATCGAACATAGAACATTAAGCGGTAAAAGTGGCATGGTAAAAGCGCTCGTTTTGAACCTAGATTCTAATAACGGGAAGAGCGGTAAAACTGATAACTTGTTGAACATTGTACTAGTTGGTGTGGACAGTTACGGTGGAATGAGCAATGAATTATGACTTAGTGAGCTTCCGATTCAGTATATTTTAAATAATATGGCTATCAAATCGTACTTATTAATTATTATCCTTACTAATATTATAAATCTGAAAGTGAGTTTGTTTGTTCCACTTTCACGCCATAACTACTAAACCGATTGCTATGAATTTTCGCATAAGTATAGTTAGAAGCCCGGATTAAATAATAGGGTACTTTTTAACCCGGAAAAAATTGATATTCCCGAGGAAAAACAATAGTATTGGTATAGATGGCGCTGTGTATATTGATTGGTGTATGTCACATAGGCTACTTTTTATTCTTTTGTGACGCGAGCGAAGCCGCGGGTAAAAGCTAGTTGTAAATACGAAAGAGTTTATGTTTATCTGTTTGTTACTCCTTCACGTCCAAACGGCTGAAGGGATCGGGACAGACTTTGGTACAGGGGTAGATTATAGTTTGGAATAGCACATAAGCTACATTTTATTCTTCGGGAACGCGGGCGAAGGTACTGCCACAAAGTATTTATTTTCTCCCATCATTAAGCAAGACAAGTATGTAAAACCGATCTTTAAATAGTTCGTAGAACAAAGTAAAATGAAAGAAACGATTCCACAGTAAAAATAAGCAATAAGAAAGTACTAAACTGATGCACAACTGGGGAAAAGTGCGAGTATCTCTTTGTGCCTTTTCGGGGAACAAAACACTGTTGTGTTTATAAACATACAACTGTTGACCATTGGAACACAGAAGGGCAACCATCTTTAATGCAACGATCGTGACGTGACCAGCATAGAATATTGTAATTACTGCACGCCTTTTTAAAGTTCAATCTTAATTGATTCTCATAATTATTTATTACGATGGCAATTTAATTATGTTTGCTTATGTCATAAATTAATCTCACATTTTTAATTATGTTCGGTTCGTGATTAGAACGCTGTTTTAAGAAAACTGGGTTAATTTTTAAGCTTTGATGGTATTGTTGCCTGCCTGAAATTTCTATTATCGATATTTAGATTACATTAGAAAAAAAAAGAATTTAATAAATTTCCCAATAGATAGATTTTCCTTAGATTAAATAATACATTAAGGGCTGATTTTTTCAACGTCAGATAAATTTTAACGGAGCAATAACTAAATAATATTTGATAATTCTTCGGTACCTCTAGTTAAGAATTAACTGATGATTAAATATTCACCTCTTAATTAATGTCATTAACTGCAAACATTATGAACAAAAGCTCTTTAATAATAAAGTGCAGTATTAAAATTGATTGAAAACAAAGTGACCTACTTTGTGATGTCCTTGCTGGTATCATCATTTGCGTTCATTAATCTGACAGCACCATTTAATTACACATACAGGCCGTCAATTGTGAACGTTCTCCGCATGGACTGAATTAAAACCTAATCATGCCGACGTCCGACCCATTTAGTTTAGGAATTCATAAGAAAGTGCTCAACCATACTTGCAACTTGCACATATTTGACTGAGAACATTAAAAATATTTTTACTTAAGATTAATAAGAACAACTTAATATGTACATTAGGTACATACCTTATTTATAATTAGGTAGTTCCTGGAACATTATTTTCTTCGTCTCTTATGTCGACGTTGTGTCTAGCTCCTATTGTTTACGACCTGTGTTGTCAGACTAAACAAAACCTTGACAATTGGATCGTTATTATTTAAATAAATATTAACGATCGCTTAAATACTAACGATATATTAACGATCGCTTAAAACTGAAAGCTGCTGCTTTCAATTTAATAAATAAAATAAATTTTAATAAATATTAAGAGAAAATATCACTACTTGTTTAATTAATAATTATTTGTTTTACTAAGTTTGTAGTTTTCCAATACTGGCAACATTTATTAACATTTCTGAATGTTGTTGTATTCATTTATTTTAGTTATTTTAATGTACACCGACATGTAATAAGACTGCTACTTATCTTATGCCCACGCCAGTAACGAGTGTCAGCCCGCGCTGACGTTCCAGTGAATGTACCACGATGTTGTCAGCGATGTTATCCACTGTCAACTGTCCATATCGCCAGCCTTGTCGCCAACAACTTGTCATCTTATAGTAGCTGTATGAATTAACGAGGAACATAATCAAACATTCTGATAAATGTTCATTGTACTTAGATTATGCTTTTATACAATTAACTAAGATATAGACCTGAATGATGGAAAGGTTTAATAAATAATGTAGAGAATCTAATTTATGGAAACAGTGTGTATTGTTTGTAAATGGATAGTCTTGATCTTAGAAATGTTTATACCACGACGGTGGCAAAAAAGCACACGGCCCACCTGATGGTAAGCGGTTACCGTGGCCTATGTACCCCTGCAACACTTGGGGCATTACATGCGTCTTGCCGACCCTTAAGAAACCTATTCACTCCCCTCTTGAAGAACCCCATTTTGTAAAATGTAATGTAAAAACGAAATTCGTCTATGATTAAACTGCTCTTTACCTACACATAATTAAAATATAGTTAGGAATCGGGATGAGGGTCAACTAAACATCCTCTTTTAGTACATCTCTCGTTTACCCAAACATCCTTCATCTCTGTACCTATATGCAATCGCGATCAACAAACTTGGACCTATACAATACACATTCTAAGAGAGTAGGTACTGTAATATAGTCTCTATGACCAAGTACATACAAGCTAATTAAATGCAATGTTCCCACGATAATATTGGCCGCTAGTACGCTACTTATTTAGTCCAAACTAATTGTGGTGTCAGCTCTTGTTAGATGGGAATTTGTTAAGTAATTCTTAATCTATTTAGAATGGCTTGTTTTCAATGTTCAGCTTAAAATTTCTGATATTATTCAAATATAATACGGTATTAGTGCATATTGTTAGGGGTTCGTGAGTTAAATATAATCAATTGAATTTCCAGTAAGTACTTGAACTTCGACTTTTCAATAAATATTTTTATAGAAATTTAGAGGTCACTTCTGTGATACACATGATAATAATATTATGCTTATTATGAAAATAAATATAGTGATGTAAGGTAATGTGAGAAACAGGGAAATGGGACGAGAGGAGCAGGGAAGAATCTATTCCGATCTCTATCAAACATCTATGATCAGATCAGGATCAGGAATAAGTAGTTATGATTTAATCAAAGTCAAAGCTTTTATTTCAATTAATCATTAATTAGGCTCTTTTGAAACTTCAAAAATTTAATTGTCCGTCCTTCTGTCTGTCAGTGAAGCTCGGCCCTATGTCTGTTGAATCACAAATATAATCGAAATAAAATCAATAACTACTACAGATCTAATTATCCGATCATGTTACAGGTATCATTAGAGAGGTACAACAAGGACGTGGTGACTTGGTATCAAGTGGCGTACGTACGTCACGCATCAGATATTCTCCGTTCACATGTCGCGAAGTGGCGATGTCATGCCGAGGGTAATGAGAAATATCGCGAGGTTCGGATTCTTCCGTTCGTAGGTACTGAGGTACTATGTAGTTACACCTCGAGGCTATATAGAATCTAATCAATATATTGTCAGTTGTACGTTGGAAAACCTAGAGTAGTTATTTGGTATACTAGGAAGAAAATTAAGATTGACTCAATGTAGGTCAGATAGGTAGCCAATCGCGAATCAATGATTATATTATATATCTCATTGGATATCTATGTGTCAAAAATGTGTTCGTTAAGTGGCAGTAATGATTTTATACTAGACATCTTTTTGGCTCGGAAAATAAAAGATTACATGGGTCGAGAATTGAACCCGAGACCATGAATCCGAGATCATTTTTACTACCAAGAGGCAGTTCATTGTAATCACTTGTCGCTTGTATTGTATGGAATTTATTCAATAGGTAGTAATAGTTGCGTGGTGCACTGATATTGTGCAATATTATGCCTCACCGTGGTAGCATTGTGACCTTTTTTCTACAGTTACCTAGTGTGCAGTCATTTGTTATTAATGTCGGCCGATTACTGATTAATGTGAGTAAAGAGTTGAATCAATGAATGGAACTTTATAGTAGTTTGCGCTTAATTTATTAATGAAATGATAAGAGTAATGTTTATCGTGAAGTTGATAACGCCTCATTAACTTATGTACAAATGTTTACGATAAACGTAAATAAAACTTTAACTTTACCTTTATATACTTATTAACTTTTATTGTAAAACGTAAAAGTACTTAACTAAACTAGTACATCAGTATGTTCTCAACACGCATTTGTTCGCAGCAAGCAACAATGATATATTATATCTAGATCCTATAATAATTACACTCCACACATACTTATCTCTTACCTCCATTCTAGTATGTACAACAAGCAACAAATTAAAATATTCCCACAGCGCTAATCTCATCACCAATCACCAACAACGTATAATCTTGAAACGGTAACAACTAATTTGTAATCAATCCAATCAAGTCAAAGTTTTGTAGCCAGTTCTCGGTAACGTGTACCGTACACTATCTTACTAGGTGAGATGATCTCCGACTGACGAGAGGACCCGTATAAGGCCTCGAATAACCCGACTGATATAGTCCATGTTCCCACGATATCCAAACCGATCGACGGCTACAATGTACCTAATTACTTTTATATTACCCTGTATTATAGTCTAGCAAATTACACCTTCACTCAAGCACTTAATTAGATAAATTAATTGTCGTACCGGTTACTCATAACACTACTTGTGTTGACTAAGTGCGTACGTGTTTCATATGAACATACGTAGTGTAATTTGTAATCAAAGCATTTGGATTATAATCGATTGTTAATATCTTGTCGGCTTTAATGCCTCTAGCTTTACTTTCTTTTTATGTTTTGATTCGGTTAATATGTCTTGATTAAGTTAAAATAAAGTGAAAATTCTTAGAATTACACATCAAGTTCTCAAGGACCATGATAGTATTCAGACTAACCGTTGTCTAAATAAAAATACTAAAACATTCTCACTGCGTTTGAGAAGAGAATAAAATAATGCTATCATAGGGTAGCTAGCTAGAATTTCTTTTGCAATTTTGGAAAAAAATCTTCGAACTTACCCTTTGAATGTAGCTTAAGCTTTAGATTTAAGTATGGCAGCCTCATTCACAGTGACTTAAACGAAATCCGCCGCAAGGCAGGATCTCCTAAAATAGCTTAGCAAAAAAAAAACGCAATAATGCTAAGTAGTGACGAGAATTGACGGGATGTTAGCCCGTTACTCACAACCATAGGATACAAGCTGACGTCCATAGAAACACAGGTTTTATACATTTGTTTAAGTGTTCAAATATCTGCATAATATTATTTCTTGAATTTGAATAATCAAATGTTGTCACATCACTAATGTCTCAGGTACACAAGCATTTTTAGTGACTTTTTATTGTTTGTTTAATATTTTATCTGACATCTGGTATTTAAATGTAGATTTTATTCAGTGCTTGTTCATTTAAAGCTTTTAAAGTGGCGTTTAGATTTTGCAGCATCGTTTAATTTTGTTTTTGCATAATTCAAGATTTTCGCACTTCGATTAGAATTGGTTTTATCGCAGAATATTGAATCGTTGACATCTGATACCTAATTCGATGTTTTTATTTGTTTAATGACTCGGGGGTCTAGTGGCCTCAAGCACGACTAAGGACTAAGGATTAGAAACCTAGGGCATTATTAATGATGAGATTTATGATATAAAATGAGTGTACCTAAGTACTTTACGAACACCAAGCAATCCCAGTGAGGAATGAAATAAGATATTATGTTGTTCTCTATTCATGGTCAAAGTATTGCAGCGATAAGCCCATAAGCTTAAAGCCTGATTTACAAATCCCTTCTCACAACATGGCCATATTTAAAGCAGTATTTATTCTTAATAACATATCATTATCAGTAAGCAGCTGCTACTTCGTGCTCGCTAAGTAAATGTGAGTCGTTCCTTCATCGCTTGGTTTTACTTTACCTATACCTTTACCTACATTTAACTATGTATAGTTATCAGCAATGAAGTGTGAATATTTCACATTTTATATTTCAATTAAACCCTTGCAAAATAAAATGTGTGAGGTTGTAACTTTTAGTTATACACATACTTATCTAACAAGCAAGTTAGAAAATGAAAATGTTAATTAGACATTTTGCAGAGTGTTGAGATTACTTATTTAGAGTTAATTAAATTATTTGTCAAAATATTCATGTTATTGGTCATGACTATACATGAACCTAATAGAGTCAGTACCTATGAACACACGACGAGTCCCTGTTTTAGTGATTCCACGCATGCGTTTTAATTTTGTTGAATTGTGTTGTGATTAGCTTAATTTTATCATTTAACTATTTGCACACATATATGCGGCAGGCTAATGACAGTTACTTCCTTTATTTTATTACTGTTTTTGCACCATTCATCGCCAAATATCAAACTACGTAACTACCTACTAGTAAATAATTTACGTCGTTCGCGCCTTTCTACAGGCAACTTAATACTCACACTTAACGGTAATTGATGAATTGGTTTACAAGATTGTAAAAGTAATGTTTGATTTTTTTACAGAGCAATAATAACGGAGAATACTCATCGAGAAGTCTTCCTCGTGTAAGGCTCGACAACGGTGCTAACGTTGGCACGGCTGGTGTTCGACTCCGCTGTTGGGCTGCACCGCCATCGATAACAGAAGAAGACGTTGAAGAAGAAATCGAAGAAGATGCAGTATCACTACGGGCAATGCCTGCTCAAGGTTCGTAAATTAATTTTTTGCAACGCTATCTAGCGTGTAATAGTTGAACTATTCGATATGTGCTCCATCTAGTGAGTAAAAGTTGATACAATTTATCACCGCCATCTAGTGGGAAAAAGCTAACTTAGTATGATCGCCATCTAGTGTGTATTTTATGTAATTGTAGTAGTGTTTCTACTCGACACTAGAGGGCGCTTCTGCATTCATTAAGCTTTATTCATTCAACGATAGATGGCGTTGCATTAAAGTTCTTCTTTTAAAATTAAAGTAGCTGATAATTGTTTCAGATTTTATATCAAGTCCGTTTTATAGAAGAAATATTTTCTATGAAAATTAATGAGAGAATTTTCTCATTTGAAGATTTCTGTATAAATACCTAAGTACCTACCTTAGGTACTTTTTTTTATAAAATAGTTAACTATTAATATTAATTTCTTTGATGGTTCTTTCTTTTTCTTTATCTATAGTCAAATAATTAATTTAACACATGTTGGCTCTTAGGCTGAGCTTTCAGGAAATGTTAATTGTACGAAGTAGGGCAAATGTGTTAACGTGTTTACCCCGCTTCCGCGAAACCATACGAAATGCCACAAAATTCTGTGACAGAAAACAATTAATCATGTACAACAAGTTTTCACTTCGTATTAATTCGAAGTCAGTGAAGTTGTCGGGGTCTAGTGGCATTTCGTTCAGTGGCACCGCAACGTAATACGATGCAAGAAGGGCGCACACCGTGACGCGAGCGCACCCGTAGCCGTCTGCCGTCACCAATCGATTCGTCCCATTGTTTCACGCCCGCGCTGCATACTTGTCACTCTTTTTATTACTTGGAAAATTAGTGAGAATATTAGCTTCTTTAACGAATTCCTAAGCCTCGTTGCGTTATCTTGCGTAACCTCCATAGTTTTTGTTGAAGTATCGTCTCATGTTTTCGACATTGCTCAATAAAAAAATTTTTGGTGATTATGTTGATGGAGTGTTTACTTCAAGTGTATGGTGATTTAGGATAAAAAGTCGAAACAGTTTTCGATTTTGTGAAGACAAGCAGCTTTTGGCAAAGCTTTCAGAATGTAGACAAGACCGTGCTGTTATTTTGTAGTGTATGTATGTATTGTATTGTATGTATTTAAAACTTTCAAACTGAAAATCCATTAAAATCCACTTGACACACGATAAGTCACATTATAAGTAGTACATAAAACGTATGTTTTTCCAGTACGTGACACGACTGTATCATAGTATAAAGAACAAAGTAGGTTATCTTCATACAAATGCTCCGCGCGCGGCTTATATGTGTGCGCCATAGTATCTATGCGTCGACGCACGCACACTTTAACAAAATCTCGACCCGTTTCTCAGTGCGCCAGGCAGGGCTAACACTGCACGAGGTTGGCGCGCGCTTCACGGCTTTTCGGCACTGTTCAATGAAATAAAAAATGTCTGATAATCGTAGAAGAACGTATTGCTGTGTGTTTGGGTGTCTTAATAATTAATTGATTTCAGAACTGTCTCTGTTCAGATTAGGTACCTATTGAACAGGAAAGGTAAGCTAGTCACTTTTTTAGCATAATATAATTTGTAGGTACTTGATGATGAGATACCTACTTACTTATTCTTACTCTTATCATTCTTCATAGTTCCTACTCAACCAGAAATGTAATTACCTACTATACTTAAATATTATAAGAAAATGTGGTATTGTATTGTTTATTTCACAGTTTATCTGATTTGTTAAGAACGTAGGCGAGTCGCATTTTTCCATATAAATGTATTCCCAAATTTACTTTCTGAATACTATGTAGAGCTAAAGTTTATTTTAAGAAGTTAATAATCTTTTTATAAGCTTTTTATTTTAACTAAATTTATAAATTGATAAAATATTCAATCATAATATGCTTTTCATTTCATAAATTTAGATCAAGTGCTGCTTGTTCGAAAATATTAACTAAAAGTAAAAGTGACAACCCTGGGGATCAACGCAAGAGTAGGCTAATAACTCGGCGGGCGGCCTTAGACAACCTACTGTATATGTTTATACTGTGACTGTATCGCAATTCGACACGCGACAGCGCTCAGTGTCCCTTCGCCCCCGTCTGGCGCAATCGAGCTAAAATGGGTACAATTAGGGCCCGGCCGTTTTTAATTGACATCGGTCCCTCGGCTCGTGAGCGTTGCACGGCCCTATGACTATCAATCTCTGACTTAGAACGCAAATATGTATAGCACTTGATTTTATCTGGCTACAACACGAAACAGAACGGAAGGGTTATTTTTGTACCGTAGCTCAGGGTTCATTTTGCCGGACGTTAATGGTCCTTTTAACTAATAGTTTGGAAAACAGCGGAATATTTTCAGTGTACGTAACAAACACAAGCAAATTATTTAATTTGTACAATAACAGCAGACTGCCCATGTGGGCAGATTAATATATGTCAAAAGGTGCATCTTTAGAGCTTAAATCTATTAATTTGTTGTTTGACCTTCTATGTTGAAGATAAGGTGACTATGACTGTCTGATCTCAATGATGGCTATCTTATCGGTATCTTAGGCTAATTGGTTAATTATATTAGAAGACATTCTCGCAGACTCGCATAACATTTTAATTTTTACCTGCCTACGTTTGAACACTTTGCTTATACTAAGTTTTTAGACTAAAATACGATTCCTAGAAATATCTACAAAGCTCGTGCTCAAAATAGATCGCAGCGCTACACGCAACTCTATGCAACCATCACTCAGTTTTCTGTTTTAGTAATTATTTCAGCTACAAAGAAAGGAGTTGAGAACCGAAATACAAACTTTTTAACCTGTCACCCGCCAGGAACTTTGTCAGTAAGCAAACACGGGGTCGATTGACAACTCCAAAATAGAGGACGTTGGTGACGGTTAAAAAGAAATTCTAATTTCGAACGAGAGCTTAAGCTTTTTTCTTTTTTTCCTGTAATATTTTCGGTGACTCAAACTCGTTGTGGCCTAAGCACTTAGTGTAGAAGGAGGCCCATTGATCTCGTACTGTAATTTGTTAACCTCTTTGGAGACTTCCTGATGAAGGTTGTTTATTTATTTGGCAGTTTTGTTCTTATGTTGTCATGTCGGTGCGTGGAGTCAAGAGTAATTTGCGAAAGAACTTTAGACATTAAAAATTTATGACTTCGAATGTGAAGTTGGTCTCATGAATTGTCTATATTTGGCGTTAATTTACTTAGTAACGAAAACAACAACGCAAGAGATATTATTTATTCACATTATAATGAGGCACACGATTAGCTTTGTTTGAATTATTTTTGTCAATTCGCGTATTTTTCCATGGACTTTTTTCTGTAGGTATGTCATGGAAATGGATAAACCTTTCGTTTTCATCGTCTGCGTCATTAAATTCACTTGATGGGTTTAAACGAATGACTAAGTTTAATTAACCATATTTTTGATATTACCAGTACGAGGGCGATGCCTCGTTTACCTAAATACGATTTAGCATGAGTCAGTGCGACTGATAGGGATGTGAAGGCGGCTTACACACAGTTCCTATGAACTGACGCTCGTCCTGAATATTAATTGGAGTCCAACACATTGTGTGTGTATAAGGACTGCCTACTGGTTGGTTTCCGAACAAAAACTGAATAGTTAATAGAGTCGGCGTCACTCTGTCGATCGAGTTGTTAGCAGACATATTACGAAAGCGATAAACGAGAAATTTCAAGTTTTATTATCGAGTATTGGTATTATATATTTATACGGCAGTAAATCACTGATTTGTTGCTGGTATGTTTAGCAAAAACTATGTGTGTAGATAAGGTACTTTAGAAGGTGTGTTGGATTAAATTATCTTTCTATTTGTTTTTACTTCGATTGCTTTTCCCGTGTAATGTAATCTATTAAGGAATGCAGAAATTATATCCTAAATAGCGATTGGTATTACTGTGGTCTTCTATATTGATTTTCAATAATGTACCCATAAATGTGTTTATTACTGTGTATGATCACGAGACTACAAGATAATGTACGTATTTTGCACCTCCGGGGAAAAACAGGGTTGATGTTATCACCCAATGTCCACCTAAGTTATATACACAATGTATTATTTTATATTAATTCTTGTTAACTACACCATTGCCTCTTATGTGGACTATTACTACGTATTTTAAATGAATATAAACGTACGTGTGTTATCTTATCTCAAAAAATTGCAATGTGTAAAATTAGCAACTAATTGATTTATTACTAGATGTAAAATATAGAATATTGATTTATACATAGTTTATTGTCATACGTGTGTACACTGTATTACGAGTGTTTGTATATCTACGTGTATACGCCATTGTTCTCGTGAATAAATATTTAATTGTATTTAGCCTGTCTCATCATCATACAAGAAGTCCACTGCTGTTCATATCCCAGTGACTTCCACATCGGCTGGTTAGAAGAACTTCATTAAGTATTTAACTGCCGACAAGAACTGTTAAAGGTCAATCCTCCGCTAGCGTCGGACATCATTGTCCGACACGGCATCCAATGTGTTAAGGCATAAGGAATGCATTGCGTTTAAATTTAGCATACACAACATCACTTCCTTTATCCACGAAGGGGTAGGCAGAGGTGTACATTATGCCACTGTACAGTGTAACCACACACCTTTCATTATTTATGTTATGAGTCCCATGTAATAGGGGGTGAGCCTATTGCCATATACCGAGCACAATTCCAGGCTCCGTGCTACTACTGAGAATTTTTAAACCCAGTAATTCTTTGCCCGACCCGGGAATCGAACCCGAGACCCCTTACCCGGCAGTCGCACTTGCGACCACTCGGCCAACGAGGCAGTCTAAGTTTAAATTTAGAAGGACCTTAAAAAGCTTTCACAATTTTCATTTCATAATACAACATATATAGGTTGGCCATATATGTAAGGCAATTTGATGAATGTTTACGTCAATTTGATTTGCAATTGAATTTCATTCTGATATTTGGAAATGAAATTCACAGAATGATCATATTAATTCTTCAACG